ATATATATATGTATATGTATATATATATGTATATATATATGTATATGTATATATATATATGTATATGTATATATATATATGTATATATATATATGTATATGTATATATATATATATATATATATATGTATATGTATATATATATGTATATGTATATATATATATATATATGTATATGTATATATATATATATATATATATATATATATATATATATATATATATATATATATGTATATGTATATGTATATGTATATGTATATGTATATGTATATGTATATATATATATATATGTATATGTATATATATATGTATATGTATATATATATGTATATATATATATATATATATATATATATATATATATATATATATATATATATGTATATGTATATATATATATATGTATATGTATATATATATATATGTATATGTATATATATATATGTATATGTATATATATATGTATATATATATGTATATATATATGTATATATGTATATATGTATATATGTATATATGTATATATTCGTATATATGTGTATATGTATATGTGTATGTGTATGTGTATGTGTATGTGTATATGTATATGTATATGTATATGTATATGTATATATGTATATATGTATATATGTATATATGTATATATGTATATGTATATGTATATGTATATGTATATGTATATGTATATGTATATGTATATATATATATATATATATATATATATATATATATATATATATATATAATTTATTTTTTTTCCCTTTCTTTCTTTCTTTTTCTTTTTTTTCATATTTCATGCACACTGAATCTGTGACTGATCTTATGTTTTTTTAGGAACTCATAAAAAAAGAATGGGAAGAGAAGCAGCAAAAGGAGAAAGAAGAAGAGGAGAAGAAGCAAGAACAACAGGTGTGGCTTCTTATGCAAGGAAAAATATCCTTTAATGCTCTAGCTATAATTCTGTAGGATATATAGCTCTCTTAGTGTTTTTTTGAGGCAGTTTGGTGGTCATTCTTCATAAGTTTAACAGTTTGCATGAGGAATACTATTGACTTATTATTGATGTTGATATTGGGGATGATATTTTTTTTCTTTTACTTTAAGAGTTTTCTTCAGTATTTCATTCATTTACCAGAGAAACCTTTGAAAAAATATATAATTTGTTAGAATTTTGAAAGTTGAAGTGTCTGAAATTAACCCATTCGCGCCGGGTAAAAATGAACAAAAAATGGGGGAAATGCTGTGCTCATTTTTTTATAGTTTTTAATGAAATTTCCTTACATTAGATGGCTCTGCTTTACCTGATTTCATTTGGCGGGAAAATGTATTTTTACTAGTGCTATGAATATTGATGGTTATTTTTATTATAAACATTATAATTGCTATATTGTTATAAACATTAGTAACAACAAAATAAGAAAACGCAAAATGATTTCGTAAATTAAAGAAAAGGGTAAACAGACGAGACAAGCAGTACAAGTGCAAGTGGAGCCATCTATGTTTGTAAACAATCAAACAAGTAAACTCACAGTGGGCCCGTCACGTATACGTGACGCCCGGCGCGAATGGGTTAAGATCTAATACAAGATTGCTTGCAAGCACACAACACTTACATGATAAATCGATAACAGATGTTTACACAGTCTGAAAGAGATGAATGATAGTAAATGTAAATTGTGTGAGTTTCTTCCTTTTTTAATATAAATATTTAGTTTTTATTGTAGTTTGTGTTACACCTCCTGTATGTGTTCAAACATTTGCCTTAACCTGAGTTTTACAGCCAAGTAATGAGTGCTGTGACCCTGTCCCCCTACACAGAGTGCCCTGCTCCAGGCAGTCGTAGAAGGTCTTGGGGAGGTTAGTGTATAAAGGCGTCTCTATTGTTCATAAAGTGTGTTTTATGTATTTCTGGATTGAGATTATCCCATGTAGAAATTACTTAAAGAATTATGTTATAAAGATGAGTATTTAAACATATATATATATATATATATATATATATATATATATATATATATATATATATATATATATATATGTATATATGTATATATATGTATATATATGTATATATGTATATATGTATATATGTATATATGTACATATATGTACATATATGTACATATATGTACATATATGTACATGTATGTACATGTATGTACATGTATGTATATGTATGTATATGTATGTATATGTATGTATATGTATGTATATGTATATATATATATATATATATATATATATATATATATATATATATATATATATATATATATATATATGTATATATACATATATATACATATATAATGTATGTGTTATGAGTACATTTATTATGAATGATATTATTTCTACTTCAAATTTTATTAACAATGCAATGGGATCAAATTACTCCATGAAACATTGTCACACTAACTTAGTTATACATATCAAGAGAATTTATTTTTTATTTCAGGCTGAGAATGGGGAAGTGACCCAAAATCCTGAACCCCCAGAGG